ATATATGTATGTGTGTGTGTGTATATCTGTGTGTATGTGTGTATATGTAAAATGTGTAAGATGAGATAACTGTGTATAATTGCTGCAGAATAAAAGCAGCTTATCATTTGGCTGCATCCTCCCCTCTTATTGTTATTACATTACAGCTCAGTCATTTTGGATCGATTCCTATTTGGCTCCATCGAGGAAACTGCTTTGAAAATGTCAGCAGATACATTATACCTTTTCTCTTAACCTTTCCTGAATCTCCTCCTGCTGGGGTTTGGCATGAGTCACTGTCCGCCTCTCTCACCCAGTCCATCTCCACTAGCTGGACTTGCACACCCAATTTGACTGTTACGCTCTTGCATCTTGTTAAATGACATTAACCCGTGCTGCTGAGCTGAGGTCAGCTGGGGCTCTTGAATGACTCATGTTGAGCCTGAGTACGTTCAGATTGAGCCATGACTTTGTGTGTAAGAGGCTTGACTCTGACTCTGACATGCCTTCCTCCAGTAGATATTTCTCCTTCTCACTGGACAGCTGCTACAGTTGGCCTCTAGCTCAGCTATTAGTCCTAATTGCTTAACATTCAAACTCACTGTATGACATCAGTCCCTCATGTTATTACTCTGTGAACTGTGATAGGCCTTTTACTCTGCTTAAAAGCCTGTGAGCCGACCTTAGTCATGGTTATTTTCATTTTAAAACGATATTGCATAATCGGCACAAGGTACTGACAGTTTTTATCTGTGTCTCTTCACTCCAAGCCAGAAAATTTGCTCTTAGCCAGCAAGTTGAAGGGGGCAGCAGTAAAACTGGCCGATTTCGGCCTAGCTATTGAAGTGCAGGGAGACCAGCAGGCATGGTTTGGTGAGTACACTCCACTTTGAGCTTTGAGCTCTTTCTTTGGGTTTATGTTTCATTGTTTTTAATGAATATGCCTGTATTTGAATGTAATATGTTTATTGACATGACGTAGTTGTTGGCTTGTTGTGTTTAAAAAGCAACACAATATCCCCTTTTCCACCGCGGGAACTTTTATCAATTACCCGGAATTTTGAAAAACCAATGCACGTTTCCATCGAAATTACCCGGGTAAAAAACTTTCCCGCAACCCCAAATTTACCCTGAAAAAGTACCTAATAGGGGGGTAGGACTTTTCGGATAACGCCTGGAATTCTTGAGGGGCAGGGCTGTGTGCCAAAGAACACTGATTGGTGGGACACACACTTGCAGCGTTCTGCACTTCCTGATATGGGCAGCTGCTGCAAACTTTATTTCATTTCTACAAGCTCCACTTCATTTCTATTTCGATTAAGGATGATTAAGGAGTGAAGTCAGACAACAGCAGAGAGGCCGCAGTGCAGATGAAGGGAATATAACTTCAAGATTACACTAGTTTACAACAACTACACTTGTTACTGTAAGTAAGTGCGATAAAACCTCTGCCAACCAAGCCAATACTTTGTCAATACATGTGATCAGCATGTAGAAAGCCATATTTCACTCTGCTCTGTCCGCAGTCTCTCATTCACTACTAATATGATTTACAGTCGCCGTCGACACAAGCGCATCGTGGTTGACATAAGCGCATCACGCTTGCGGTACCAACAGCAAAGACGAACTAAAATGAAAGCTGTCTGTATGTAGGCTAACACTTTGGGCTGTAGTTTCCCGGCACAGCGCAGGGCGGTGCAGGGTGGCGAACCCCACGCAGAGCTAGTTTCGAGCAGCGCAACCCGAGGCGCGCTCAGTTTGGTAGTTTGGCAGACCGAGGTGCGCTGAGATGGGTGTGGCGGCGCAGCAGGGGGAGGTGTCGACAAATCCAGCTTGGCGCAGTGACAGTTTCGTGCCAAAAGGCTTTGCCGAAGGTGCACTAAAAGCTCGCCATCTGAAAACAGGTCTACTGTCAGCGCAGGGGGAACACAGCCGGTGTAAGCAGAAGTTTGGCTGACCAGCGGACAGTGCGCACACGTCACCAAAACCTCACAGGCAGGTTTCCAGAATATCAGGCACATTAACAATGCAAAAAATAGCCACAAAACCACTATTCAATGCAACTATCTGCAATCAGCACATAAATCTATCTCTATATTGACTGTCCCGTCACATCTGATGTCAGATCAAAGGGGATTGGCACCGTTTGGCACGCGTAATGGAAACCGAACCACAGAGATCAATATAAATATCAAGCAGTGACATGAGGTCATGAGGTTTTAGGCCATAAAAATTCAAGCCTTTTAGTCGATGAAAATTCAAAATTTTTTAGTCCCAGGGCAAATCTCAGAATATATTCATGACATTGTAGTTGACAAAAATTTAGAAGTTTGAGTAGAAGAAAATTCAAAACATTTTAGTCAATGAAAGTAAATTCAGATCATTTTAGTCGATGAACATTCAAAATGTTTTAGGCCATGAAAAATCAGGCCTTTTTGTTGACAAATATTCAAAATGTTTTTGTGGACAAAAATTCAAAACTTTTAAGTTAATGAACATTCAAAATGTTTTAGTCCCAGGGCAAATCCCAGATTATTTTTTGGCATGTAAACATAGTCAGACTGAGCCTTAGTTCTGACAAAAAATGTTTTCATAATGTAAATCAATAAACTAATTGCCATGGATCCTATTTTTTTCCTTTTCTTCAGGCAAAATTATTATTACCACTTTAAGATTTCCCCAACTGGTTTTGTCATACTTAAGATAGGGTTGAAGGGATTAATGAACTCTAAACAGGCTATTTGTGTTGATGGGTGTGGACACTATCATCAGTGTGCTCACATAAATTGAAAACACATTGCCTGCAAACATATATATTCTTATGTACTACATACTGAAGAAAAATGGGTCCTCCCACATCCAAGTCCCTCTAATAAAAACCCTGTATCCTCTGCAGGACTTTGCTGCTGCACAGATCTAGTATCAGATGTTTCTAAATGTTTGATTTTCTCTCAGATGACAATGTAACATTTGTGAAGTTTTTCTCAGGAAAGGTCTCACTGAACTGATTTGGTAAAACGGAACAAAGAAAATCTTTGTCCTAGTTTTGTATTTCCTTAAACAGCCAAATCAAATGAACATCTTCAAGTATGCCATTTTACCAACATTGCCCTATCTATCTACCTATCTAAAGGGAATAGGTGTGTCACCGCTCTCGGCTCTTGTATCAACTTTGAATTGAATATATTTCAGGCCTATTTCTTCTCCCTACTCTCTGTGGAACAGAGAAATAATTGGTTTATTCCCCCAGCTCCAGCCTCCATCTGGAACCAGTTCACTGTGTGTTCTGACTTTGGTACCAGTTGTGCTACATCTCAGAATGTCTGCTGCTACTTTGAGGCTGTGTTAAAAGTAGGCTGCTTGTTGCTGGTCATGAGCCAAACTACATCCCCACAAACAGGGAGTTTGTTAACCCCGGCTCATAAACTTTGTTTATGGTCCCACTGATTCTTAGCTGCTGTGAAATGTTGGTGGTGGTGATAACAACCTTTAAAAGACTTCCACATACACAGCAGGTGGAGAATACCATGTCAGGCTGAAGAAATAAGAAACTTGTGGCATTGTCAAAGCTTTTATTTTAATAGAGGAGTTGTTCTGTATGGTGTGTTTATGTGCGTATATGTGTGTGTTTCAGGTTTTGCCGGTACACCAGGGTACCTGTCCCCAGAGGTGCTGAGGAAAGATCCATACGGGAAGCCAGTGGACATGTGGGCTTGTGGTAAGACTGTGCGCTAATTTAACTGATGATTTGTTTAACTGGGGGAAGTCTTGTGGAGCAGCTGCTTATTATTATACGCAAACAAGCATCATGGCTTGACACAGCCAATCAGATGCCTTCCCTGGGGATTGTCAAAAGGGCCTTCCACTGCTTCAGCGGAATGTACCACAGGCAAAGCCATTAATACTAGTACAATCACATTGTCCTTTTTTTTTATCCCAAGGCAAATTATTGTGCAGCAGTTGCAGTATAGAGTAGAAAGAGAGCAAATATATAAATATAAAAAATCAACAGACTACAAATCCAAAGCATACACAATACCAGTGATGTAGAGGGATTTTCAGTGTAGTGAGTACCTTGGGCCCATGGCTGGTCATTTCAGTGGGTCCCAGGAAAACTGAGTGGGTTCCAAATAAATGTGTGTTTTTTGTCAAATTGTAGTGTTAAACTGGTGTTTAGTGTTGTAAGATTCTAACTATGGTTATATTCCTGTATGTTGGAAATGTACCAGAAAGTTAGATAAAGTCCCATATAAAAACCTAATTTACAAAACCACAGACTGCACATGTATTTGTATATAAGGTTCATGTTCACAACATCATACAAATGTCACACGTCTCAAGTAATATTTCAAAAACATTAGTAATTCTCCTAAAGCCACATTACATTACTCTTTAAATCCAGAGTCATCAAATGATACTCAGTTTAACATGCTTATTAAATTCAGTTCTAAGTTAAATGTTATTTCATTCAGTCCTTTCTGCTGTAGATTGTGTACATGTGTGGCAATCAGTAGTACTCAGGTAATTTATGTACAACAAAGAAGTACAGATGTCTTCAACCTTTTCCATTAATTATTGCAGATGCTCAGTACACACACTTCTGATAGACCAGACCACCTGGACCTAAGAGCTAAAACACACACTGTCTAAAACACACAGGCACACACACTTCTTTCAACACACCTGTGCTGACTCACTGAGTCAACAGAAACAATAGCCCATGTTGTGTTTGTGGTCAGCCTGTCTCATCAGTAGATAAAGACACTTTCATCTTTTCCTGGCAACCACCTAGCCAATCAGAAACAACCTTTTGTGGTAACACCAGCAAACACAAGCACTCATGTGTGTCTGTTACCACACTGTTCTTCATTTAGACATCATATGTGTGTGCTCTTCAATACTGATCTCATTGTGGAACACTGACAGCTCAACACACTGCAAGTTAAGAAAATGTCTTTACCCATTTGTCAATACATGCACATATTTAAGAAAAAGTGTCACAAACAGAGAAATCACATCCAAATACAGGAATGCCCTGCAAACGCAGACAACAAAACTAAATACAGATGTGCACTGCAATTACAGAAATCACAACGAATTACAAAAATGTGTTTGGATTCACTGGACTACAAATGATTTGTCATTTGTGAACATCTAAACTGGACGTGAAGGTTTTTTCCTCTGGGTCTTGCCATTTGAAATGGCAAGAGACAGCATGTTCTTTGTTCTTCAAACAAAGGACAGCCATTTGGGACTCATCTCCACAGGATTATTGTCATACCTAAGTGAGAAACCAGTCTTCAAACTTGATTGGACAGTACTTTCACAGTGACATGTGACTCTGTGATGTCACCAAGAAAACTTTCGGAGACATTTCTGCTCTTCATCTCTCTCTAGCACCAGCTCTTGCCCCTGAGCTATTGAAGGGGGAGCTTACTCTGTAGAAATGCACTGCATATACAGACAACGCAGCTTCTTAAAAAAACGCTTTCTGATTATAGAAAACAACCAAATACAGAATTGTGCTGCAATTACAAAAGAAGAAAACAAAAAACGCGCTACAAATAGAGAAAACACAACCAAAAACAGAAACGTTTGATTGTGCCTTCTCTATTTGCAGCCTCCTTCTGCATGTGTTTTCTTAAAGCCACAGTGTGTAGGAATTTCTCCCATCTAACGTTAAAATCATATATTGCATTCAAACGGATAGCACACTCTAGCGCCTCACTGTTTCAAACGCGTATTGCCAACGGTAGCCGCTGTGTACCAGAAAGCTATTATAATATTGATGAAACCATGTCATCCAATGATTCATAGAATATTCATTCAGGCTCCAACACAGACACACGTGACGCGAGTTGACAAACCCCCTCCTCACCATGCTGGCTGTGTTTACAACATAGGACTGTTGGTGTGGGTGTAAATCGAAACAAATCAATCACATCTTGTGTTTTGACAACTGACAAGTGGCTAACAGCTGATAGGGGCCAGCGCCACTGTTATCTGTTAGCACTGTTAGCACTGTTAGCTGTGATTGCATTACCTTTCTCCTTCAGCAGCCCTTTTCACCTGGGAAAGGTGACCGTGATGTTGACCCTCGTTTTTTGAATTCGCCGGTCATGTTGCCTTTTTTGATTCCCTTTTGCGCTTTCTTGGCGACGAGGATTCCGTCTCCCATGATGCTGCATATGCATGATCCTGCATTATGCTCAAAGAGTGGGACTTTGTTATGCTGCAGTAGTGCCGGGGTAGTAGCGAAGCACCTCTTGCTCCTCTCCTTCGGCTTCTCAGTCACGCAGCACTGGCCTGGCTCTCAATGAAAACGCCGAAGGCGGGGCTGTATATCCCTTGCTGGCAGATGTATTTTCAAGATGGCGAAATGTTATGGAACCCCCCAGACGATTTGCCCACACAACGTTCAAGCAAAGCCGAAATTCTCCTTTTACGAGAATAAGTCAGATTATTGGTAGAACACCAATGATGACATATTTATGAATGCAGACATCAATTTTTGCCAATAAACAACTCAAAATGTTACACAATGTCCATTTAAGTTGCAGTGTAATGAGCTTTAAGGGCCACTGCACCTTATAGACTGTTGGATGACATTATTGAGTCATTAACATGAAAAAGATATGTATTTATGGATAACAGTGTGTGTGCGTGTGTGTGTGTGTGTGTGTGTGTGTGTGTGTGTGTGTGTGTGTGTGTGTGTGTGTGTGAAGGCGTAATTCTCTACATCCTCCTGGTGGGATATCCCCCATTCTGGGATGAGGACCAGCACAGACTCTACCAGCAGATTAAAGCTGGAGCTTATGATGTAAGTTTATTACAGACACTCTCTCTGTCTCTCTCTCCCTTCTTCTCTTATACAGTAATGTTTGGCTCGATGATCTAAGAAATGTTTTGTATCACATCAAAACTTCCGTCCAACCTTCCCACCCCCTCTCTCTCTCACGAGTTGAGGTGGATAGATATATGTTGAAAGTCCAGTACATTGGATCTGATGCTTGAACTGGGTCAGGATCCACAGGTCAGATAAATGACAAGGTCAGAGGGTCTGCTTATGCACCTGTTTGTCCACTCATGATGGAAAGGGGATGAATGTACATTTCATTTTTTTAATGTTGTGTTATTATTAGATGTGGATTTGATTAATGACAGTGATTTAAAACAGTGGGGAGCAGCAGCTAGTTTAATACTCAAAAATCACTTTGATTTCATGTGTAATTGCAGCCAGGACGGATTGGGTATGTGCTACATCACAAACACTCCCACAGTACTGGGCACTGTGGGCACTGTTGTAAAATGTTCCATATCAGTGCCAATTCATCACCTTACTTTTGGTACTCAAGTTTTTGACCACTATTTTTGCTATGGGGCAATGTTTTAATGAGTGGGTCCCCATTTTGTTTAGTATCTCATGGATATAAGAGGACATACATGCACACTCCCAAGCACACAGATGACACGATACACATTCCTGACAATATTTTGAAGCAGCTCCACAACTCTGCTGACTAACATATCAAGAAAAGTAGCAGTGCACCATAACAAGACAGAGGAGAAGACTGCAAGCTACCAAATATGGATGTAAACCATGTATGTTTTCATTTTTATGTCTCAGCACCAGCGATAGTTGTGGCCAGAGGCATTATGTTTTCAGGTTGTCCATCTGTCTGTACGTACAAAGGTCCCATTCTCAATTTTATATTTTTTCAAATTTGGCACAAATATCCACTTGGACTCAACAACGAACTGATTAGTTTTTGGTGGTCAAAGGTCAAGGTCATGCAAACGTCTCATTCTCATGAACACAATATCTCAAGAAGACTTTAAGTGATATTTTTTTATAGTTGGCCCAAACATCCACTTTTAGTCAAGGATAAACTGATCAGAATTTGGTGGTCAAAGGTCAAGGTCACAGTAATTTGTCACCTTTCTTAACATGAAATCTCAAGAATGCCATAAGGGATTTTTTTCAAATTTGGCACAAATGTCCACTTTGACTCAGTGATGAACTCATAAGATTTTGGTGGCCAAAGGTCAAGTTCACTATGACATAGCATTCGTCGCATTCCTGTGAATGCTGTATCTCAATAACAACTTGAGAGAATTTCTTCAAATTTGGCAGACACGTCCACTCGGACTCAACAATGAACTGAGTAGAATTTGGTGGTCAAAGGTCAAGGTCACTGTGACCTCACAAAACATGTTTTTGGGCATATTTTAGGAATTGCTTTGCTAATAATGACAAAATTGAACACAAATTTCAAATAAAATAAAATGAAGTTATGACATTGTTTATCCAAAAGATCAAAGGTCAACTTCACTGTGACATCATAATATTCTACATAAAACACTTTCCTGGACATTATTCAGTGTCATATCTCAGGAACAGTTGGGGAGACATTTGGCCAGATACTAAACTGGTGACTCTAATCTTGGGTGTCCTCCTTGAAACTGACTATATAGATCCTCTGTGCTGCCAGGGGGGAGATATGTGTGAAGCATCCATGTTTTTGACAATTGATGCTGGGTTCGCGGAGGTATGAAACTGCAAGGCCGTAATTCTACTTTCAACAAAATCTGTCCAGGTATTTGGTGCCAATTTAAGTAGTGGACACTGTGAAAACTCAACTTACGTGATTCTGTGTAAGTGAATGAAAAGTGAATAAAAAGGACTACTCAACAAAAAGCATTTTCTAACTTCTAAATGTGCAGTAATCTTGCTAAATTGTATGTAGACATAATCCAGGTATATTAACACTGTAACTGGTTGTCAGAACATTTGAAATGGTTTCTGTGATGTCATACCTGCAACAGTTCCCTTCTCCTGAGTGGGACACAGTGACTCCAGAGGCCAAAGACCTGATCAACAAGATGCTGACCATCAATCCAGCCAAGAGAGTGACCGCCACAGATGCACTCAAACACCCTTGGATCTGTGTAGGCAACACACACACACACACACACACACACACTATCAATAAATTCAGTGAAGGCAGGTTTTCTTCAAAATATAATTGCCTGTGAACACACTTTATAATACTACAAACTCTCTGTGGTTACAGCAACGCTCCACTGTGGCGTCCATGATGCACAGACAGGAGACTGTAGAGTGTCTGAAGAAATTCAACGCTAGGAGGAAACTCAAGGTGAGTGACAGCAGGAGCTACTCTACAAGATGGCTTATCCCACAGATGACAGACCAGCCCATCCTCATTCCAAGTTCATTAAATATTGACGCTTTGTCATGCCCCTCGCTGTCTCATGCCAAAGGCACCCTTTAGTGTCTTCATGAGGGGCATCGGCGCAGCTTTCAACCAACTACAGTGTAAACCCATCTGCTGCAGTACTTGATGCTCTGAGTATTGCATGTTATATGCACAGTGTCTACATAGGATGAGAGGGAGGAGAAGTTGATGGATTAAACAAACCGGACTTTCACCCAGGAGGCCACAGTTTGTGTCTCATGTGAAACCAAAATTCATCTTTGTTTCAACGTAACCTTATGTAATTTATGTACAGTCATCATGCACTGATGACATGTAACATAACATATGTATTTTTTTTTTTTTTTTTACCCAAAACGTGATCTATTTTCTCAACCTAACCAAGTAGTTTTGTTATCTAAAATCTTACCGTGACAGGAGTTGCATGAGGTCCTTATCCATAGTCACTATGTTAGCTACAGTAGATGTTAGTCGACTCGCTCCCAGTTTGGAGAAGCAGCCTGTTTCGACAGGGAAGCAGTTAATGGCCTACAGTTCCCCGTCTATGCTCTTGTCAAAGTCACCAGACTCCACTGACAAAAACAGTCAATTTAGCTTGCTGAACACAGGAGCTGCTGGTCTACTGCTGCTTTTAACAGTTAGTTCGTTAGTTAGTGTTATTGTGTGACTTTGATTAATCTGAACTAACCTTTTTAAACACCAAAGTTACACAATAACACAAACAAAGTAACTGATTGAGGCAGTGGTAAACCAGCAGCTCCAATGTTCAGCAATGTTAAGTCACTATTTTTCTCAGTGGAGTCTGGTTTTGAAGAGAGCGATATAACGGCCTCATTTTCCTGTTAGAAATCAACTGTCTGACAGTAAGGTAAAGCAGTGAAAATACCCTCAATATATTGAACACCTGAACAGATATTGATTTTTTTAGGTGGCCAAAATATGTTTTGTCGCTTACCCATCCACAGCAGTAAGTAAGTAAGTAAAATTTATTTGTATAGCACTTCTCACAGAGAGAACTCACAAAGTGCTTCACAGGATTAAAATACAACCAAGAATACGTACATACAAACATACAGAGACACAAAAATGAAACAACAGCAGTTGTTGGAAAACTAAATCTCTAAAGACAAGTTAAAGAATGCCTGCCTATACAGATAGGTTTTAAGGTGCTTCTTAAAAATATCGACAGATGCTGCAGCTCTCAAATTCTGTGGGAGGGTCTTCCACAATCTGGGCGCAATGGACTCTAAGGCCCGGTCGCCTCTAGTTCAAAGCCTAGTGCGAGGAACTGCCAATAGACCGTGATCGGCCGACCTAAGTGTCTTACTAGGAACATATACATGCAGCAGGTCGGACAGATACTCAGGTACCTGATCATGAAGGGCTCTGTATGTTAAAACAAGGATTTTGAACTGGATCCTAAAGCTGACAGGAAGCCAGTGTAGGGAGGCCAGGACAGGAGTAATGTGACAGTTTTTGGGTGATTTGGTTAACAGCCTGGCAGCGGCATTCTGCACCAGTTGAAGACGATCTACAGAAGTTTTACTGAGACACATGAAAAGAGAATTGCAGTAATCCAGACGTGATGACACAAAGGCATGAATGATCATTTCCGGTTCAGCATGTGATACAACAGATCTCAGTTTTGCAGTGTTTTTAGGGTGGAAAAAGCATGTATGGGTCAACATGTGGATGTGTTTATCAAAGTGCATGGCCTGGTCAAAAATAACTCCGAGATTTCTCAGGTTAGAACGGATATTTGAATTCAGGGACCCAATACAGCTAGCCACCTTAGAAGCAGTACATTCAGGAGCGACAACAAGGACCTCGGTCTTAGCAGCGTTAAGCTGGAGGAAATTGTTGACCATCCAGTCATTGATTGCAGACAAACAGTCAGGCAGTACATTCAGACTGTCGGTCCTATCAGGATTAAAAGAAAAATACAGCTGAATATCATCTGCGTACATATGATATGATACACCCTCAAACCTGTTGATAATGTTTCCAAGAGGAAGCATATACAGAGCAAACAAAATTGGACCCAACACTGAGCCCTGAGGCACCCCACAAGAAAGGGGGACGGAATCGGACATAAAAGGACCAGATGCTACAGAGAAACTTCTACCAGAAAGGTAGGAGGCAAACCAGTCAAGGGCACTGCCTGAAATGCCAACACAGTCACTGAGCCTATCTAACAGGATGTGGTGATCCACAGTATCGAAGGCTGCGCTAAGGTCAAGCAGCACTAGGATGGTACATTTACCAGTGTCAGAGGCCATCATGATGTCATTAGACACTCTAAGAAGTGCTGTCTCAGTGGAATGCTTCTGACGGTAACCAGATTGAAATTTGTGATGGATACAATGCTTATTTAGGGCAGGGACTAGTTGGTTAGCAACAACTTTTTCTAGAATCTTTGAAATAAAAGGCAATTTAGAAATGGGCTTAAAGTTGCTAAATAATGAAGGGTCCAGATTGGGCTTTTTAAGAAGTGGCTGGACAACCACCTGTTTAAAATAGGAGGGGAAGCAGCCAGAGACTAGTGAGCAGTTAAGTGAGCAGTACATTGCTTAGCTTCCATGTCAGCTTGCTTCTCCAAACTGGTGGCGTGCCAACTGCCATCTTCTGTAGGTAACACACTGTCTATGGATAAGTACCTCATACAACCCCACTTCAGTGCCCTGCACATTGCCATCAGATGTCAAGGGGTGTGACATATACCCCTTTTTGACAGTTATGGGCGGGCTTGATTTGATTTGGTTTGGGCTATCAGCACAGTGCAGCAGGGATTTGCATCTCTGTTACAACAGGGATACCTGCTTGCAGGTGTGTCTTTAACTAATGACAGCTCGTCTTGAGTGATGACATTTAAAAGCAGCAGGCTGATCTTTGGCTAAAGTCCCCTGTTATTTTTGCTTTATTTTTTTTTCCATCACACAGCAGAGCAGCTAAAAGAAGTTTATCTGTTGGAGGTGAGTTGTTTGCAGAGGTGCAGTAAGAGCCTGTTAGCAGCTCTTTATCTAACATCTCACTATGGCAGTTCTGCTTTACTCTTCCTCCCTGCGGCATTATTAGACTTGCCTTTATTGAAGAAATGCCACTAAGAGAGTTCCAGTAATTCAGTAATAAACACATTTAATTTCCTAAAGATTATTCACAATATAAGTCCCCCATTATTTTGTTATGTAAAAACTTTTATTTCGAAGGAGCAGAAAAGGGAAGTGTTGAGTTGTCAAGCAGCAACTTCACACAACTTCTAATATGGCTGACAGTGAACATGAAACAGTCAAATAAAGCAGATATCTAAAGTAAAAAAATGATGCAGGAGAGAAAAACACCTTTGCCTCTGGTCCCCTGCAGACAGAGGTGAGTAGAGTCCTGTAACTCACACGACTTGTTTTAGGAGTAGAAGTAGGGTCATCAGGGTTTTGCTGTGGTCTGCGAGATGTCACCACTACCCGCTTGAGGGCGGACAGTCGGGCTTTTTGGACCTTCTCCAGAGAAGGTACATCTCTGGCACAGCTTGGCCTGGCATGGCGCGTTTTTACTGATAATGAAAATAAAAATCAGCGCAGCATGGCTTGACTCAGCACGGCCAAAATTGACAGCGGAAGAGGCCCAAAAGTGTCGTTATTTGATGACCTGGAAATGAGAACTGGTTGGAGGACCTGTTCAGTTGCTACATTCAACTCTGATGTTTTGTCTTTTTGCTGAATACACTGCTCAACCTTTAGCCCTTTAGCTGATAAATGCTACAGAAATCAGCCAAATCCAGTCATGGCAGAATTATAGTCATAAGTATTAATCACTAATCTTTTAGTCAAAATTAACACAGGAGTTAGCCCCTCTCAGTGTCCATGTCTCTTTCTTTAGGGTGCTATCCTGACTACGATGCTGGCTACTCGCAACTTCTCAGGTAGGAATGAACCAGTTATGGTGAAGATTGACGACCTCCTTGTCCTGCCTGAAATATTGCTCCCTTACATCAAAACAGTGTTACACGCTGTCAGTTTTTTTCCTTGATGCCTCCTTTACTCGGTTTCTGTGATGTATTGTGGTATTGTTTAGGGTGCTGCTCTTTTGAGTGCATCCTTTTTTTCAGTTTCCCTGGCCTTTGAGCCTAATAAGCTCCACTGGTTCTCCCCTTTTAGTGTCTATCAACAGAGACTGAACAATCACACAGATCGATGCAGTCCCATCGTCAGGTCCCTGTAAAGGGCAAACTGTTTAGACTGCGTCTAACATTATTGATGTTCTCTTTATGTGAAATGACACTCAAGATTACATTTTTTTTATTGACAATCATTTTAGTGTGCAGTGTTATGACAGTGACTTTAGTGTTTACTTTTGTTTTTCTCCCTCCCCCCTCTTGTGTGGTAACTCATGTGTAAGGTAAGAATTCTTGGTGCAGTCTGCTCATCTTTACACTGTCACACTACACTGCAACCTTTGATGATGAGGCATGTCCACCACAGTACCAGTATAGGGCTCTAACAAAGTGTATCCTTTGGTGGTCATATTGGAGGAAAAGAAAACATTTTATATCTTAAAATTCCAAAATGTCCAAAATGCTGATGGAGCATGGTCAGTAGGTGGTGGTACTATGAAAGCATTCTCAGTATGTTGTATCGAAGGGTTATCCATGGATGGCAACTGTAGTAAAGTGCTTGCTGTCATTCAGAGTTATTAATAACTTCACCAAAGGCACTAAGTTCTACCAAAGTTGGTCAAGTTCAGGTCGCTGTTTAGCGTATATGAATATGACTGATTCTGCATCAGTCTACATACTTTGTATACACAGAACAGTAATTCTCAGACTGTGATGATTTGGTACAAATACACAAACCATAACAGGTACGTATATATTAGAATAAGTTGTTATATGTTCAGTAATTAGTAAATATAGATTATTGCCACATTGATCAGATTTATATATTTTGATTGAATGAAGAAAAAAACAACCATTGCTGTTTGCAACTAGATTGTTGTTGTTTTTAATTGTTCCTTTTTTTTTTTAAATAATTTGGGACCTAACAACCTTGTTATACATGGTGAAATGTTGATCTTACTGTCCTGTTAAAGGTCCGGTGTGTACGATTTAGGGGCATCTAATTGCAAAATGGAATATAAGTACAAAAAGTAAGGAAATTTTTGTTTGGTAGATTATTTCTTTGTTGGAACAATGCTTCTTGACAATAAATCTTATACTGTTGGAAAGCCGGTTTATTTCCCTTGTAAATGGTGCCACATTTGTGAGGATTATGTATTTGTGGGATGAGCAGCAGAGCTGAGTATGTGGGTTGCACCCATGAAAAATTTGCCAAATCTTCTCTGCCATTGCAAAACAGCTTTTTTTTTTTGCTGTTGCTGTTGATTCGCATTGACTTGTTTTAAGCTTCTGGTACACGCAGGTGAGCATGGGCTGTGAGCATGGGCCCTGCTACAGTGGTCAGTTGGTGTCTGCTCCATGAATTGGCATGCCATGTTTGACTGATCTGGATAGTTGGCATCCCAAGAAGAAAGCACCCGAGGAAGACCATTTCTTCATCCTATCAACACTTAGGAACTGTAGGCAGTCTTCTACAGATTTGCAGTCAAGGTTTGCAGGACGATATGGCCGACGGCTCTCTGCCCAGACAATCCAGAACAGACTGCACGCAGCCAATTTCCGGTCTCATAGGACTGCCAGGAGGCCTGCCATGACTGCCCTTCACCACCAGGCCCGTTTGCGCTGGTGTCAGCAACACGTGCACTGGAACCTGAACATGTAGAAGAACGTCATGTTCAGCGATGAGTCCAGATTCTGCCTACGGCAGTTGGATCGTAGGATCTTTTGGAAGAGGCAGTGTGATGGTGTGGGGCGGCATCTCCCTCACTGGAAAAGCGAGGCTTGTCATCATTGAAGACAATCTCAATGCAGAGAGATATCGAGATGAAATTCTGCAACCAGTGGCAATCCTATATTTCCACAGTCTGGGACCGAACTCTATCCTCAGTGGTGACAATGCTCACCCCCACAGAGCGGGGTTTATCAGAGACTACCGCCAGAATTTAGGAGTGGAGAGGATGGAATAGCCTGCCAGTAGTCCTGACCTCAACCCCATTGAACATCTGTGGGATCAGCTTGGGTGTGCTGTTCGTGCCAGAGTGACCAACACAACACCACGTTGGCTGACTTGTGACAATTGCTGATAGAAGAATGGGATGCCATCCCACAGCAGTGTGTGACCAGGCTGGTGACCAGCATGAGGAGGAAGTGCCAGGCTGTTGTGGCTGTGTATGGTTCTTCCACACGCTACTGAGGCTACTACAATCCACCAAACAACACCAAACAAGAGTCAATAGCACAAAAAAAAAGAAGAAGCTGTTTGCCATTGGCGGAGAAGATTTGGCAAATTCTTCATGGGCACAACCCACATACGCAGCTCTGCTGCTCATCCCACAAAATAAACAGGCTTTCCAACGGTATAAGATTAATTGCCAAGAAGCATCGTTACAACAAAGAAATAATCTACCAAACACAAATTTCCTTACTTTTTGTGCTTAGTTTATATGTTCTGAAGAAGCAGAATTCAAGGCCTGGAGCTGGGCCAGGAAGCTCGCAACCTTGTTCCCTACTTCTCGAATAAACTTTCTTTGTTTTCTATTAAATATCAAAAACTCAAATACTGAGAGGTCAAAAAATCACTGGAGACATGTAGAATCAGGTGCAACTGAGTTTAATGTGCTCGCAGGCAACAAAACACATCAACTCAATGAGTCAAGCTCCGGAGCAGGACTGAAGTTCTCCCTTCTGTGCATCCCTTTTTAAGGCTGGTGAAGATTCTGCTGAGTCTCTACCTTTTTTCTTTAATCCTACCCACTTGGGCTGAACAAAACAGTGTCACGGCTCTCCGTTCTTCCCTTGAAGCCAGCCTACCCACTGGAGCTTGTACATAATGGTATCCCAGCTCTCCCTTTTTCCCTTGGAGCCAATTTCACCGTGTAATGCTTTCCTGGGCAGTCTAGGCCCGCCTCCTAGAGTCATATCAGGCCAAGCTGGAATTCCTCTAACTTTCCACCAATATTTCTGAGCCCATCCTCATGCTATTTTTTTTAAAAAGGATGCACAGTGAATCCTAGGTACTTTTCCACCACAATGCTTAAGTGCTCAATGAGTGTATGTGTGTGTCATAGAAATACATGAAATAATAAATCAGTGTGTGACTTGTCAGTGCACAGAGTACATTGCTTCAACACGTATCTTTAAAGGTCAACTTAAAGGTACAGTATAAACACTACAGTAAATTAGTACATTACACTACAGTTCATTAATTTACAATCACCTGAGTCGGCCATGTTTCTACAGTAGCCCAGAAAGGACAAATCAAACACTGGCTCTAGATAGGAACATTTGCGTTTTTGGCGTTGGCCACCGTAATTCTCCTACATGCTTGGGATATAGAGAAGTTTCAGTTCTGCAACCTCATCCCTAGATATAACTACATCTTACACACTGAGCCTTAAAATTCTAATATTGTGGTAATTATTAGTATTGCCGCACTTTGTCCACTGAGTCACAGGCTTTTTGTCATTGACAGTTAGAAAATTCAACAGGGAGCGGAAAGTGTTGACCTCATTTACATACAGAACCATGAAATCTTCTTAGATTGTCTCATGTCTGGTTCAGTCAGGGACAGTGGATGTCACTAGTAGTTTTCATATGTAGCATGATAATGACAGTCTCCCTTGTTTCAGCCCATTTTTAGGGTTTGGCATGTGTGAGTTTGGTAACTCAAAAAAGACTCGCAAAAAAACGCCTGTTTTGAGGCATGGCCATGGCTAAACACATAACTCCACCTGGTGAGATCACTGAGTTTGAGCTGTACTGACTGGATTTTACAGTGTAGCACCCCTTTTTTAATGCCTCTACATAAAAATAGTCTTATCCTGAGGCATAATGTTTTGGGTTTGTTTTTGTCCATGCATACATACATATATATGGCCATATATCTGCTTTGAGAGACTTAATTCAAATTTGTCACCAACATCCACTCTGACTCAACAATGAACTGATTAGATTTTGGTGGTCAAAGGTCAACGTTAAGGTCAAGGTTACTGTGACCTTGCATTTGTCCCTTTCTTGTAAACACAATTTTTCAATCGGCCATTTGGAAGATGAACAGATGAAGTGATTTAAACTTGGTGGTCAAAGGTAAAGGTCCCTGTGAACTTGAACAAAACACCTTGAGGTAATTTCTTCAAATTTTATACAAATCTTCTTGGACTCAACAGTGATCCAATGAGATTTTGTTGGTCAAAGGTCAAGGTCATCTTGACCTTGCGTCCATCTCATTTTCATAAACACAATATCTTAAGAAGGCCGTGAGGGAGTTTCCTCAAATTTGGCACAAACCTCCACTTGGACTCAAGGATGAACTAATTAATATGTGATGGTCAAAGGTCAAGGTCACTGTGACCTTGCATCCATTTCATTCTGTTGAACACGATCTCTCCAAAACAGCTTGAGGTAATTTCTTCAAATTTTACACAGACTTTTACTTGGACTCAACAATGAAGTGATTAGATTTTGGTGGTCAAAGGTCAGTTTGACTTCACAAAACATGATTTGGCCACAACTCAAGAATTCATGGACTAATTATAACAAAACTTCACACAAATATCTAATAGGATTAAATGATGAAGTGATGACATTTTATATGCAAAAGGTCAACTTCACTGTGACATCATAATGTCCTGCATGAACATGTTTCTGGCTGCTATTCATTGCCAAAACTCAGGAACAGAAGGGGAGACACTTGGTCAGATAGTGAATTGGCAACACTCATCTTGAAACTGTACTGATTGTATAGATCTTCTGTGTGTGAAGCACTCGTGCTTTCTCAGACATGGATGACATGGAAGACAAATGAAATGGAAGACAAATTTGACTGGTGTGTGGAGGCATACAATCACAGGGTGGTAATTCAAGTTAATTTTTTTTCTTCAAAAATATTCCTCCAATATGGCTGCTAAGAGATTTTGATGTCAATGGAAAGCCTCTATCAGTTACTCACCATGCATATTGTATGTTTTAACAAATCATGCATGCCGATAAAACCCCTCACTGTCTAAGATGATGCATGAAACCCCTGTGCTGCTCTCCCTGCCACTACCAATCATCTGTTTGTGTCTCAGACTGTATTTGAGTGCTAACTGAAAAGCAGGTGGTCTTCACTGGCCAACAAAACTCAAAAAACACACTGATTTTAGCTCACTCTTTACAGATAAAAGTTGTTTTTGTAGGGTGTTTGAGATAAAACATGCTTGTGTTTAAGTAAAAGTGTGCAGAGAAAGGGAGGGAGAAGCTTAACAGCTCAGACCCCAGGACCCTGCTGCTCTGACTGCTTGGCGCTGCTTTCAGTGTCTCTTACAGCCTCGTCAGATGGATCTAATTGCCTGGTCCAGGCTAATGATTCACCAAGTTTTCATCTCTTGACTTCATTTGCATTTTCTCTTTTGCTTCCAGTTGTATCAGAACTCACTTTGAGGTTGCTTGTAATTGGCCAGTGGTGCGTGCATGCCTTAATTCAACTGACTGCTGATTTCATTGCATTGTTATCTTTTTCTCTCAACAGCAGCCAAGAGCCTGCTGAACAAAAAACCGGATGGTGTCAAAGTAAGTTCAGCTCATTTCACTGTGTTTTTTATGTCTTGTACAGAAAGCTTAACATTGTTTTACATACTACAGTACTGCGTATCACACCACACCTCAGCATGTCTCACCTCATGTTTAAGTGTTGTTCTCTGAATACTGTAGCTTTGTCATCAATGAACTCAAGCAGCACTACAGCTCTGATAAAAATAGGAGCTCAGCTTGCCTCAGTGAATTAATTTTGCCCAAGTGGGTTTAACGCATATTTCCCAGTAATTACCCCCTCTGTATTGTCAGTCTGTTTGAGAGAAAGAGGGACATTTGTTGTCTGAGCCGAGGAAACTGTTGAAACTAATAACTGATCATGAAATTATGATTGGAGGGTGGGAGAGAGGCATCATCTCTATGCCATTCTTCACTCAGCTGTCAGATGATGCAAATCTTCTAATTGATACCACCAGGAAAGTGTGTGTGTGTGTGTGCTTCTCCTTTTTCCACCATCTGACTCTTAATCTGTCATTCATTCAATTTCACCCTTGTTTAGGATGAGGATGAGCCAAACTCAGTCTCTGTTACTTTTCCCCTCAACACAACATCTCTTGTGTTTTTTTTTTGTTTTTGTTTTTTTATTACCTTAAAGGGAGTTTGGATTGTTTAGGTGGGGTTGTATGGGGAACTCATCCATAGTCAGTGTATTACAAACAGTAGATGTCAGTCGGCATGCTCCCACTTTGGAGAAACAAGCAGGAGTTTGACATGGAAGCTAAGCAATTTGCTGCTGTGGATGGGGGTCAACAACATTTGTATTTTTGTCACCTAAAAAAGTAGTATTTTCACTGCTTTACCTTTCCATCAGACAGCCTGTTCCAACGGGGAAGAACTAATGTCTAATCTCATTTATGCTCTTGTCAGAGCTACCAGACTCCATTGACAAAAACAGTCATTTTAGCTCGCTGACCACATGGAGCTGCTGGTCTACTGCGGCAACATTCAGTTAGTTAGTGTGTGTTGTTATATGACTGTGGTGAATCTGAACTAACCCTTTTAAACACCAAAGTCATAAAATTACACAAACAAACTAACTGTAAGAGGCAGCGGTAGACCAGCAGCTACTGTGTTCAAAAATGTTAAATCACTGTTTTTCTCAATGGAGTCTGCCTTGGACATCACTGTCCGACATAAAGGAAAACTAGTGAAAATATTGTAATTATTGGGGGGGGGCTAAAACACATTTTTTTGCTGACCTTTTGTTGCTTAAGCTGTTGTCCCTGGCTTCATATGAGTAGAGGAAATCTCTGCTAGCCACTAGGTTAATTTATACAATGTAAAATGCCATAGGCTTGTGCTAATAACATCAGCATGTTGTATACTGTCTATGGATAAGTATCCTATACCGTGCCACTTCAAAAAATCTGAACCATCCCTTTAACCCTAATTGGATTGAGCGATGCCAGAGTTTCAGTCTGCCTAATGCTCTAAAAACTCACCTGCAATCTATGTTTCCATTTACCTGTTGTTTCTAAATTATCTACTGTCCTAAATCTGGGTAGTTTTAATAACTTAAAATATTTTTGCTGTGGAAAATTTTGACAAATTATATTTCTAAATCCAACATTTGTATGTAGGGCCCTTGTGGGTGGTAAATGGGCTAAAAAAATAGGGCCCTATATGGGACTGTCCACGGGTTCCATATTGGCCCCATGACATTTGCCCACGTGGGTGGGTTTACCCAGATAAGATGTCCATACCTCCTTTTTATCCTGGTTGCCCCAGAATGACACATGTACACACATACATATACACATACCCACTTGGGCAAACCCATCTATGTAGGCAATTGGCATGAGGCCAATATGGAACACATGGACAATCCAAGATAGGGTCCATTTCAGCCCATTTACTACCCACATGGGCCCCATTTACAAATGTTGGATGGATCCAACAGAATCTGATGATAGCAGACTGTACTTAATGTGACTTAAAAACATCTGCACAGTTATTGGAGACTGTGTTAATAGCAGCCTCTTTGGTATCACATAATGCAAAGTAGCATTGAGGACAAGAAAGGGACGAGACTAGAGACATGGTAAGTAACACAATGGGACATGTTATTAAAGCTGCAGTCATAGGTATTTGTTCATTAGAGGACAGAAGGCTCCAAATGAAACTGGCAGGCAGCCTTAAAGTTGCTTTGTTTTGCATCCTGGCTTACATATGGGGCGGCTGTGGCTCAGAAGGTAGAGCTGGTCGTTTGATCCCTGGCTCCTCCAGTCTGCATGTTGTAGTATCCTTGAGCAAGATACCCCCAAGAAGAACCCCAAATTGCTCCTGATGGCTGTCCCATTGGTGTGTGAGTGCATGTGAATAGTTACTGAGTAGCAGGTGGCACCCTGCATGGTAGACTTGGCCACCAGTGTGTTAATGTGTGTGTGAATGAGTGAATGTGACTAGAATGAATGGTGAATGTGAATAGTGTAAAAGCGCTTTGAGTGGTCAGAAGACTAGAAAGGCACTATACAGTACAAGTGCAGTACATTTACCATTTACATATCTAGCCTTTATGAAGAAATCATTTTAACTCATGTTTCCTTCCATCTGATGAATCTTACAAGGTTGATGAGGGTGATTACACTGAAGTACTCATTCAGTATGTTGTAAAACCAAAACATTGAACCAAAAAGGCTGAAAGCTCAGCAGGGCTGCAGAGTTTGGGATAATTTTTCATAATTTGATCTGACATCTGAAGTCCTCTTAATTTCGAAGTGCTTTCTCTTCCTAAGGCTCATGCCCATTCTAGAGATTTTTTTCCTTTTTATCAGGCCTGTCCAAATGATGAATGTCTTTATTTTCTGTTGATGAGCTCCTGTTGGTGGCAGTCTTTTACTTCTCTTTTAAATCATGCTAACAAACTACACCACCCTTTTAATCCAACAAACTACTGAGAAGGTTTCTCAGGAAAGTGCTGTCACACCAGCTCTTAATAAGCAAAATGCCATTGATTCAGTATGGGTTCTAATCACTGCTGTGTGCTTTCGACCAGTACTAAGGATACACCTATTCACTAGGAGGGTCTGACACATATTGTCACTTTGTTCTGTTCTCTTAGCAAATGTGCCTCTTTGTTAGCCTCTGCTGCACTGGGTGCATTATGCTAGATATTTTCTAAAAGGCTTGTTTGAAAGAGTGGAAACACGCGTTGGGAAAGTGTGTGTGTGTGTGCCTGTATGTGAGTTACAGGCTCATCTTCTTTTTCATTGTGTTGTGGTTGCTCAATGCAGAAAAGGAAGACTGGCGGTGTGGAACATTTGAGGGTAGGCCTGAGCTTGCTGCTTGTTAACCAGACACCTGCAGTGGGTAGTTAGCAGTAGAAAACCCCTTGTGTCTAAATACGATCACAATGTTGCTGAAGGCTGGGGAGGCACTGCATGACTCAACAGACAGCATGGAGAGAACTGTAGCTCCACCCTTAGAATACCTGCTGTTCAATAATGTCACAGTGATTGATATTTAGGATTTGTTTTAATGATAGATTTTATGTATTTCAGATATACTGTATATTCATATTGGACAACCTTTGGACCGCCAAAACTGAATAAATCCAATTAATTCAAAACAAACTGAAGACCTTCTTTCTAGTGTCAGGTTCTGATGGAAGTGGGTCATGTTTTGGGGAGGTGGGCTTGGATCTTAGTATTTTTTTTTATTATTATGCTAGAACCCGGCTTCTGATATTATACACTGCTTAAGAAATTAAGGGAACACTTAAATCACACACCAGATCTCAATGAACAAATTATGCAAGTTGAAAATCTTTACTGATGTAGATTGTATGATCTTTTGAGAACAAAATGACATGACAGCAGTCGGTGAAAACCAAAATCATCAACCGCCTGATGCTACCAGTAGTGACAAGGACACTAGTAGAACACAAAACTAGAGAAGAATCAGTCAGGAAGGATAAGGAGAGAGCAACTGTCTGTGATCACCACATGCAAAACCACTCCCTTTTTGAGGGTTGTCTTGCATTTGCCTCTCCATTGCACCTGTTGTCTGCGTCCTATATGAACAGTTTGATATCCCTGAAATTTAACTGACTTGGTGTTATTTTGTGATAATTAAGTGTTTTTTTGTTTTGTTTTGTTTGTTTGTTTTTGAGCAGTGTAAATGCATCAATTGTGAGTTGATCAGCTCATTTCACTGCTAATGAACTGAAAGGCTGTTGTAACACATCTTAGCATACAGTAGTGGCTACATTTTTAACACAATGGTCCAACCATGAAACATATATCAGATATAGCAAATAGAGGAGATGGGGCGGTCACAACTCTTCTAAGTAAGACAGGTGTTAAATCCAGTAGGAATAACACTCATCTCTTCCTTTGAGAATGGCACTAAATGCACAACTTAATTTAGATTTGGAGGCATTTATCTATTTAAAGATAGAGTTGGCTACTTAAAAAAAAAACAAAAAAACGTTGTCTTATATTTGCTGAAACTGTCACTGTATTCTGAAGGAAGTACATGAGACAGTCTGAAAAAAAATCATGTCCCTCCTACAGTTTCTAATGACATTGCTAGAATCAGATAACGGCACCACAGCACAGTCAGCAACAACCAGTCAGAGTCAAGGAGTTGCTAACGCAGCTGTCAATCATCTCTATAAACTGTGGTCAAACTAGGCAGTGCTGATCAAATATCAAATATGAACCAAGATTCTGTTACTGCACTGCTTCTTTCTCTCCTCAATATGTTTCCAGAAACATATTTTAGTGTATTATTTAGATATAAAATGAGAAAGCTGGTCCAGCTGGTGGGCGGTGCTTGGTACTCACAAACTTTTTCCTTGACTCTGGTTGTTGTCATTCATATTTAGGAAGGCCATTAAAATACTACAAGGCAACAGAGTAGGCAGAGGAATATGATTTCTTCACAAATTATCTGTCTCATTTTGTGCGAATATAGTGACACTTTCAGCAAATATATAAAACATTTTTTTTTCTAAAAGTTGCCAACTGTAGATTTAA